ATACCCAAATGTAACAGCCATTACAGCAATAAGAAATCCAAAAAAGAGTTCTAATTTCCTTAAACCATATTTGTCCAATAATAAAAATGTAAAGGTATCGATTACTGTAATAAGTACACCACCCCATATAGGAATCCTAAATCAAATTAAATACATATTTTATTCATGTGTAGCTACAGAAACAAGAATAAATCATATAAAAAATAAAATCAATCTCATAACTTACGCTTTATTTGTTAATAAAGACAAAGCAATAGCTGTTCCTATTACTTCTTGCATGTCACTACCAATTATAGCTATTTCTATCATTATCCACAAAATCATTCTAGGTATTTTTTTATATTGTCTGTAACATATTTCTGCCAAATGCAAACCTGTTACCACACCAAGCCTTGCACTTAATCTTTGCATAACAAGGCCAAGAATGGTTGCACTTAATAATACCCATAATAACTGATAAAAAAATAAATTTAAACAATTTTTTAAATAAAACTCATTTATAAAAAATTAAATTAAAAATTAACTAAAAAAGCCTTATAGCCACCTTATATTTAGCAGCTACACCAGATTGCAAATCAGATTCTATATTTCCAGGATCTAAATAAGCTATAGACATTAAAAAACCAGGACCTGTGAAAGCCCATAATTTTTTAAAATTAAAGAAACCCTGTAAAAACCAAATTAAAATGGATACAGTTAAAAATCCACATATTTTCATTAAAATTAATTACTTTAACCTCCATTGGTACCGATATATACTACATTTTCTATTTCTGGTATGTGAATTTTTTCATCGGCAAAATATGTTTGACTATTATTAGATGTCAAACAAGTGTTTTCAGTTGCTTTCTCATTATTTTGCATTTCCTGCAGGTGAGACACTGTTGTAATTGTTGAATCATTGTGAGGCTCGGTAGTATAATTACTTTGCATGGTATATTGATAAGATTTCTCTGAAAAAAGATAATTTATTATATATTTCAATATCACTTAAAATTCTAATCTAAACGTATTGTAACGTTTAAAATAATAACATCGAAATAGGTTGCATTATTTAAAGATTTAATTAAAAATCAGATTATGTCAAATGATATAATTATCTATGAGCATCAATGTAATAAAGGTTAAAATAGTATCTTCATCGTATTCAAACGTTATCAATTACGAATTACACAATGTATGTATACTTAAATATGCAACAATCAATACAATAATAAATATAAATTTTTTTTATCTTTAGACAAGATATAATAACAAGATATAATAATAAGATATAATAATAAGATATAATAATTATAAATAAAAATAAAATTACATTATCACAAAATTTTAAAAAAGAAATCACACTTTTGTAAAACTAAAATAGAAATATAACTGAATTAAATTAAACACCTAGAACATTAGAACCATTAACCAACTAAGACCATTAACTGTTGACTACTGCGACAAAGCAAATGAACGAAGTATACAACGCATAACCATTTTTCCTGAATGTTTCCCCTCTCTGCGTAAAATATTACTAAATGCAATCATCACGGGGATATCCCAACTCATCAACATCAATGGCTAACAATAAGAATATGACAGAATTTATTATTATTAACTGTAATGAACTACAGGAAGGAAAAAATAAGGAAAAGATAAAATCTTTAGTTTATAAGATTATATCACCTTGCTAAAGTTTTAATAAACAAAAATCGTAAAACTTCGAAATATTTTTCGACTTTTAATTCTTCCTGTTATGTTGATAAGAAAATAATGTTTATCACATATATACTATATAATGTGTATCATTCATGTAACATTCGCGTAATATTAAATTTAGCTTCTAATTGTAAGTTAAATGAGTGACTATTTAAATCGGAATCATAATGCATTTTTTAATTAATCCAATTTTTTAATTAATCTTATTGAGACGTGCTTGTTGTATTTAATTACACATTTAATTATAGCAAATGACTATTCGGTTAATTTGATAATCGTTAAATCGAGTCAAAGACATTTATTAGAAAGGAAATTTGTAAAATTGGATCTATATTAAATATATCATAACCATAATTACAATAAATTTTTTTATTCCGATGAATAAAATATGTATCTAATAACTACTGAAATACATGCACTCAAGAATAATTTTTCGTCAAAAAATACCCGCTGTAATCATAGTTTCAATTTCGATTTGTATAAAAAACTCACATTTCTACGATGAGATGAAATGGAAAAATTCCTCATATCTTTAGGGTTTAAATAAAATTTAGAATTTTTGATAAATATTTATCGATTTTATGTAGTGATTTAGAATAATATGGCCTAGCAGTAATTACAATATTTGCAAGCCATTTCATATAATTATAATATATATGATCAAAAATTTGTATGAAAAATTATGTTACTAAAATAAAATGTAGAACTTTTCCTAAGCCAAAAAAAAATGCATTGGAAAATAAAATAAAAAAATATGTTAATATTTCTTATAATCACTTTGAATATGAAAAAAAACAAAAATCAGAAACAAAAGTTTTTTTGTTTAAGAAAAGAAATCCTAATAAAGTGATTAATATAAATTTTTTTTATTTGGTGTATATAAATTATTTTATTCAAAAGTGATGTAATTAATTTTTTGTGGCTCTTTATGTAACTTAGTTACTGAAATTTAATTAGATAAACTGAGATTCTAAATTTTGTAAAAGGAAATATTTACTTAAACAATTGTATTTCTTAATAACATTCAAATTCCGTAAAAATATGAGATGTTAACGTTACAAAAGAGTTGTTGTGCGTAAAATTATCTACAGTCTATATTGAGGACAGTTTAATCCAAATATTTAATTTGGAATATCAAGCAAATTCTTTTATTTGCATTAGATAGCGGTCAGTTAGAATTAATACATAATCATGTAATTATATGATACGGACTTACTAAAAGTTCACTTAATTAAATACATTGCCTAATTAAAATTTTTAAATTGTCAAATAATTAAATACTGAAATTTTCTTTAATGAATCAAATATATATCAGTTAGTCCCTATTCAAAACGAAGTAAACATAATTACAAACAATGATCGACCAATCGTTTAATATACATATGTATGTAGTTATCTTTTATTTCTACTGTTCTACCGATCCCCGACCAATAAATAAACTCTAATACTAAAAAAGTACAGAAGTTTCCATTATTTATTAATTTTAATGTTATTATCTAGATAGAATATAATTATCTAGATTATAATCATTAAAAAATAAATTACTATAAAAATTATTTTGAAATAAATATTTTATATTTCTAAACATACATTTTTCTTTTTTTTAGTTAAACCAAAATAATTTTTAAAAGAATTCTGATTTCTAAATCCTTCCTCATATTTCAATTTATTTTTTTTCATAGTAATTAATCTTTATTGATACGCAAAACATTTTCCAAAAGTTATTATAATAATAATTCTTTTTTGTAATCTACAAGTATATTTTATGACTATTCTTCAACAAGATCTTTAAAATTAACAAGTGTGAATTTGCAATAATGGTTTATTTTAAAATAATGATATATAATAAACAAAAACTTTTAATAAATACACGTCAATATAAACGTTACAATATTACAAATAAACAAAATCAAAATATTAATGAATATAGTAAGTGCAGAAAATAAAAAATAACAGGAAATAAAATATATTTTTAAGTGTAATCTAATCTATGAATGTGATCGAAAATGTAATAATCTTTATTTACTGCCAACATTAATTTCTCAATATCTATTCATTAAATTATCGACATTATCGCGTACGTGACCATTATGAATCGTATCTTTGATAAAGCTATCTTTTGCAGTTACGTACTGTCTTGTTCACAAATATCGTCCCCCTGATCGTAAAAATCGTCAAATGTAAAATTGAAATGATTCTAATAATAGAAAATTTTTTATTCTAGTTTATGTAAATCGTGTAACTATTTCAGTGTTTTAAGAAAAAAAATTGGAAAAATGAGAAATTTTTAAATATGCAATGTTTAATTATTTTTATAATTTATTAATTAATTTTTTAATAATCCATTTTTTTAATGATTTTTTTGTGTATGCTGCAAAATTTCATCATACGTACGATAAAATGTTTTGAAACATGAAGAGTATTGATGCAAATTAAATTAAAAATACAAATTGCATTTCTATCGTATAAAAAATTAAATTACACAATTATTTTATTTATTTAGTTTATTTTATTTTATTGTAAATAAAAAAAAATTCGTATCAAAATCATATTTTCAAAAATAGTGCGCTTACTTATTAACCTTAATACTTAATACCTTAATACTTAATAATACCTTAATACCTTAATAATACCTTAATACTAACCTTACTTATACACGTAACTCGACCATTTTCATAGTTAAAAAAAATTAATGTAAAAAAAGATGTAAGAAAAATAAAAAAAGAAAATTCTCGTATTAAACAATAATTTATTCACGTCGCAAATGACGAAAAAAAATAATATAAAATAATAATAATGATAAAATATTTCGTAGAATCATAAATATCGAATATCTAAAGTTGAAATCCCTAGTTTCAAATGTATACATTGTATGTTTTTATGATAATATTTAATATTATTTATAATAACACAATTTACTGTAATTAGTATATGTGACAGTATGCAATATTATGATCTATGATTTAGGATGTAGCTACGACTTTTGGAAATAATACATATTGGTACATTAAACGTTCAAATTCGTTTCCAAAGTAATAACTGTCCAGAGAATTATCGACTAGTATGTATACATATTCGTAGACATTAAAATTTGTCGATGATTTCTTATTTGTTTAAACAATAAACAACTCTGAATTATATTTTGATTATTAATTGAATGTCGTGTTACAAAAACGAGAAAGAACTATAATTGGACCTACATGTATGGGAAAAGTCACTGTAAAGGAATTTTTGAAGTAAAAAGATAAGGAATTTGTGAGTCAGCCATTCAGTTGTGCTATGGTTGAGCGCAGAATAAATCTGACTTCTTAAAACCTAAAAATTGCTCAATTTTGATATCAAGAAGATTACTTGAAATAAAATATTTGGAAGAATAGTTTATTAACTTACTAGGTAATATTAATGACTTTTTCAACGGTATGAACTCCATTTTGCAAGAGACAGGTAGTACTTTTACTTCACAGACATAATATCCAACTGATAATTTTTTGCAATAACGTTCTTTGGTAATATATATTTATATTTTACCAATTTGAACACGAGTATAGTATTCATAATTTTTATAATTTTTAAGTAATATGAAGACAAAGAAATTATATATAGAGCTATTGTTTGTAGGAAAATGTCTAATGTTAGTAATTTGGAACAACAAATTGCAAATTTGCAAATTAATCATGAGGATGGCGTTAAAACCACTAAGTCTGGAAAGAAAGTAGGACCAGCTGTACCTCCCAAACCAAAAAAATCACAACCACAGGTTAGTAGGAGGTTATATAAACATTATATATAATAATTTTCCTACTAACAATATTTTATATTTTCTTTCTATGACTGTTCCATTATTATATGGAAACATTAATGGTAAAATTAATAAAACAAATAAGCTTTTATAAATTAATATTATATAAAGTTTAATTGTGTAAAATATTTTACAGATACCACAAAGTTATATTATAAAGGCTGCTTCTGTGCCATTATATAGTACAGTACTTAATAATTCTGGCCAAAATGAAAAATCATCAAATTTGTACGTGAATTCTCCTTTACCATATATGCCACTGAACATAGAGAAAAATGATTTTTCATTATCATCTACCTTAAATGGAAAAAATGTTCCTAAAAGCTATCAAAATGAAAATTTTTATGTGCATCAATCGGATGAAAAATTTGAGCCAAAATATAGATATGGTGAAAAGAATCACTATTCAAATATTGGAAATATATCTGCTTCTCAAATCCCAGTTGAAGATCATTCAAGAACAACACAGAATATTGTATACAGCAATATAGATTCTCCAATATCTATACCAGTTAATAAGACAGCTAAAACTGAAAAAGATATTATCTACAGCAATATTCAATGGAATTCTAAACCAGAAAATACATATTCTAATATTCCTACTGTACACAATAATGGTAAGTTATACTAAGAACATAATTTTTAAAAATTTATTTTCATTACTTTTTTTTATTAAAGTAAATATAATTGTTATACTACAGATGACTTACCACCACCGCCAGAACCTTCAGAATATGTTCCATGTGTATTAGGTAATTCTTTTCCACCACCGCCGGAAGAATTACCGCCTCCGCCAAGTCCTGTGTCATCCAGTTATAGCGAACTAAGACGCGCTACTTATCAAACTGATTTTCCATCTGATAATTATCCAAATGATATTTATGGACCAAGTTCACAATCTAGTTCTACATATGAATCTATATATGAACCAATTAATCCTAGACCACCTTCACAATTATCTTGCAATTATTCCATGTATTCTGGTTATGGCTCTGCTACATCTACTCAACCTCAAGGAAAAGTCTCTCCAGTTAAGGAAGTATGTAAAATTTATTATGTTAATTTTTCTTTGTTGTGAAAAAATTATTCTTAAAAAATTACACTTGTTTCAGGTGGATGTTCTAACTGATCTGTTAGTTCAAGGAATGGAGGATAATGCAGAAGATATATATGGAATTTGTGCTCATTGTGGTCGTAAAGTTGAAGGCGAAGGTACCGGTTGTTCCGCGATGGATAAAGTATTCCATATTGACTGCTTTTGTTGTTATGTGTGCAAAGTTAATCTACAGGGTAAACCCTTCTATTCACTGGAGAATAAACCTTATTGCGAGGAAGATTACTTAAATACTTTAGAAAAATGCTGTGTTTGTACTAGACCAATATTGGATAGAATATTAAGAGCTACAGGAAAACCTTATCATCCGTCCTGTTTTACATGCGTTGTTTGTGGACAAAGTTTGGATGGTATACCATTTACAGTAGATGCTACAAATCAGATTCATTGCATAGAATGTTTTCACAAGTAAGTTTCCATAAGATATTTTAGTTACTCAAATGGAACAATTAATTTTATAAAACATTAATTTTCTCTTTTTGTACGCAGAAAATTTGCACCACGTTGTTGTGTTTGTAAGTTACCGATTATGCCAGAACCAGGACAAGACGAAACTGTGCGTGTTGTAGCACTAGATCGTAGTTTCCACATTCAGTGTTACAAATGCGAAGATTGTGGATTAGTTTTATCCTCTGATTCTGAGGGACGTGGCTGCTATCCTTTAGATGATCATGTATTATGCAAAAGTTGTAATGCTACTCGCGTGCAAGCATTAACATCACATATGACAACTGAATTATAAATTATGAATATTGAAGCGATATATGAAATTGTTATATTTATAGTTGCTGTTTTACGAATTTTTAACGTTTAAAGATAAATGACAGACATCTCACATGTCTGAACAATTTTTTCATAATTGAATATTTCGAGATAAATTACACCAAATATTCATTACATTACTATTTTTCTTTTTAAGATTTATATTTTGAAGAGATATACATATGTCTGTATGTATAGTAACTTAAAATATAAGTAGATTTGAAAGAACTTTCCGAACCAAGTTAATGTTACTGTCTTTGCACTGCCAATTGTAAGTGCGTAATGTTGTAACTTCTGCAATAATTATTGACTATGATGATTAATGTCAGTTTTAATGTGATTTAGTATTGCATATATTATTCAATATAGGTATTCAATTCAAGTATTAAAGATATTTCCTAGTTAAAAAAAAAAATTAGATTTACATATGACTACATCCAGATTTAAAAATTCATAAAATATATAAAATGTTTATTCTAGTGTATTCGATTTGTTACGTAAGTATTTAGACTTCCATTTTATGGCAAATCATGTGATACAATAAAATACAATATATTAATGCAAATATCTTAAATTATACCATCTATTTAACAAGTGAAAAAACTAAATAGTAAATAGAATTTAGTTATAAAATGTACTTGGATCATTAAATAAAATATCGAATTTAAAAATATTTTCTAATTATTCGTTAGTTATTTTCATTTTAGATTTAATTAAAATAAAAAGAAACTAAAATAAAAAGATATAAATACACAAATATATGTATTGGAGCATTGTATATTTCATATCTTTAATGAGATTTTTATTATTATATATTTGCAGAAGAGTGACACTTATTTTAATCTATACCTTTTCTACAACTTTTCCATCTATATAATGTTCATGCACAGATGTCTTTATTATATTTTGTTTTTAAATATATGCATCTCTTATATGTAATATATTTTTTTATTATCATTGAGTACTTAGTTTTTTGTTGTACAACCTACATATCATTTTATATATAATTTATATAATTTTTTTGTTTTTCTTAATACATCAATTTTTGTGTTTTAGTAGGCATGCTTTATAGATTGTGGAATGCATTCTGATCACCTTATCAAAACATGAACTAAAATGAATTTCATACATATAATTTCCAAATTGTAATAAAATATGACAATGCAATCACTGATTGATAAATAAAACAAAAAATCTAATCAATATGTTTCTTGAGATTGCAAAAGTTCATCATCTTAAGAGTATGCTTAACAATACTGTCAGTTTTATTCCTACAATACAAATTTAACAAAGACATCGAATTAATAAAAAAATAAATAGCTGCTAACATTGAATAACAAAAAACCTTTTATCATATGTGGACAAAATCTGTTTTATGCAATATATTGTGAATATATAATAATCCACAATCATGGAAAGCATACCGCTTACACCGTGTATATAATATACATCGATTATATTCCTATGTTCAACTACGCATTACCCGCTAATATCTATCTTAGATTTCCTTTTATATTATAATATACTTTGCAAAGTACATATTATATTTTATATCGTATCAGCACCATTCTACGTTGAATTTAGTACGTGTATAATATATTGCAATTAAATGACTCATTCTTGAATACGTTTCGTTCGTTCGTTCGTTAAACCAGTACCAAACTGAACATAGAATTGTACTTTTTCTTTGTTTTTGAATTACTTTTCGTTATAGATGTATATATTTATATATATATATTTTTTATTAATTTATTTAATTAGGTATGTATACGTGTATGAAATATGCGTGTGTAGTGTTTATGTGTGTATGAGAGAAACAGCATTAATGCACTTACACACGGATGTTTACACACGTATCTTCTTTTCACATGTTTCTATGTTTTCATCTTGTTTTCTTTTTTTTTTAACTTGCACACAATAATCACAGCCACCTATCCAAATACGCGCTCACGCATACCCAATATGCACTTATCGCACTCGTGTTCTATATACCTTCGGTATACGTTTTCTACTTATCTTTATTAATATTTATAATATACATGTATATGTATATATACATATATAATTAATTTGTGATATATATATACACACACACACGCACACATACACACATACACACGCACGCACACGCATGTATACATTCATCTTTTGTATATTGCTGAGATATCTTCTTGTGTATTATACATAGAAATAGGTGCCGAAACGAGCTGCTCTGTTCCTTTTTTTCTTTTACCATTTTTCCACTTCGATTACATATGTATATCATTCTTTTTTTCATTTTCTTGTATAATCATAATAATCAATTAATAGCAAAAAAAAAAGAATGGGTCATGCGACTCGAATGCTATATGCAAATGTCATTTTTTGTTGTTTTTATTCACACTTATTAAACTTATTGAACTTAGTTTCTTTATCTAGCTGTTTTTTCAAATATTTCGTTAAAATTGTTTTCGTTTTTAATTAGATTCTCTTTCCCGAATTCCATTCTTCTAACAGCATACTTTCACACTTTCAAATTCGCTGGGTGCTTGGGCTGTATTAGGACCCGCAAATTAATAAATAAATAGAGGAACAATATTCTTCAAACATCTTTTTTTCTTCTTATAACAACATTAGAGGCTCTTGGAACGTAACGCAACAAATGTTCAACAATACAATCACGAAAACAAATAGAAGGCACTCTTACATTTTTTTTATCAATAAATTAATTTCTTTTCGTAACGACTCACGGGTAATCTATATGCGTCCTAGGCCTTTGTCGTTTTGTCGAATATATTCCTTTCTTTCATATTTCCTTTTTTTGTTTCTTTCATCTCTTTTTTTCTTTCTTTCATTTTCTTATTTTTTTCTTTTTTCTCTTTCCTCTTCAATAAACTTTTTTTATTCGTTCGCTACATATTTCGCCACATCTAAATCACAGTGCTGTACAAACCTTCGGTTCATTATCATCTTTCATTTTCCTCATTTAAATAGACAATAATAGCTACAATATGCAAGATATGAGATAACAAATTTTTCGTTATAGATAAAAGAAATTTATACGTTTATAACAATTAGGTAGAATATTATTTAACCTTTTATATTATAATAATTTAATTATTGTTATTTGCTTGGAAGCTCACAGCCGACACATTTATTTAATTCATTATTACATACTTTTTTTTTTTTGTTCTTTTATAAGTATCTTTTTATCGTATTCGTTTTTCGGGTATTGGGGCATCTCTTTTTTCTCTTTTTTTTTCATCTTTTTTTTGTAACAGCTATTTTTAAAGACTTTTTATTTTTTCTTCTTTTTTTTTTTAGTTTTAAATGTTTGCTCTTGCATTTTTTTTTGCGCAGATAATTTGTTGAAAGAAAAGAAGAAAAATAAATCAGTATATCATTATTTTTTCCTACTGGTGGTGTTTCGAAATTGTATAAGAATGTGTTTTCTGTTCACGGTTACTCTAAGTAAACTATAAGTACTGGTTTTACCATGTTTCAACATGGTCAAAAATCAAAACTGAAAAATGTGGCAGTGCCTTGAGCAACCGTTTTTTATGAAATCAATTCTATTTTTGCCTCCCTATTACCCTTCCTCTCCATTGTCATTGTTTATCGAAATCACTACCTTTTTTTTTTTTCTTTGAACACATAACAAATCGCTCGTCTTTGTACGATAATAACATGTTATTTGTTGTTACCATATTATATTTTTTTGTGTTTTCTTCTGTTCTATCGTCTGTTTGTAATCCATCTATCCTACTCTAGCCTTGCTCGTGAGATTCAATGGTTTATCGAGCCTATCGCGCAGAAACATTAAATACTGCATATATAACATATATAGATTTTAAATAATATGTAGCGTATTGTGTATCTATTATCATTATTTTCTTTTCTGACTCTTTCATTAAACATTTATATTTTTGTTTAAAGAGATATATATAATAATATCGCTCGATTTCGAATTTTCTCTCATCTCCCGTTTTACGTTTCTCTATATTTGCTCTCCGATAGATACATACATACATACATACATACATACATACATCATACATACATACATATATATTAAGTATACATACATAATACATACATACATACATACATACATACATATTAAGTATACATACATACATGCATACATACATACATACATACGCGCGCACATACACCATATATATATATACATACATACTTATTACATACATACACATGTACTTACATATATATATATATATATATATGTATATAATATGTATGTGTATATTTATTATATTCTTTTATAAATGCTTAACAATTTAGTACATTCAATAATTTATCGAAGAACATTAATTTACATTTACATATGGAGCTCTTTTTATCTAGTTTGCATATTTTTCTCGTTCTTTTCTTTATTTCCATTTCCATTTCCATTTTCTTTTTTTTTTTCTTTTTTAGATTTCAGATTGAGATCACAAGAGAATAGAGCACATGTTCGTGTTCGTTCTATGTAATTTTTTAAAATATATTAATTATCAGGATCGTCTGTAAATCGACATGTTTTTTTATTCATTATTTTCCGTTTAATGCGGCTTCGAAATTAAGAATGCATTTATCTATCTATGTATCTATCTATCTATCTCTAACATTACACGTACGTAACATTTATCATACGTACAGTTAGGTCTGAAAGAAAAAGAAAAGGAGGAAAAACGAATCGTGCCCGTGTACGCATACATGTATATCGAGAGAACGAGTTTTAAAGGCTTAGAGCTTGCATCTGATGGCACGTATCGCTCAGCTGATTTTGGTCGCCAACAGGATGTCCTGAATGAGTTCTCGGCGTTCCAGGTGGTGTTATCGGCATTCTTCCAACGCCTGGCGGAGCATCACCAGCTCCTCCAAGACTGTCATCCGCGACTTTGTTACTAGTCTGCATTATTCCATTGACCTTGTACTTGCTCTGCCGTAACATCGTCGTGGTTGCCTGAGAACCGGAATTCGCGTACTTCTCCAACG